GGGAAAAAAAAAAGGGGGGGGGGGGAAAGGTGGGAGAAAGCACACAAATCAGATCCGCACCTTCAGGTTATGTGATCTGAAAAATCATTGACAGAAGTTTGCCCTCTTTCTTGAACAGAGTAATTAATTTTTTCTGGTACACTAGAGACAGTTATGGACGAAAGCCAGGAGGGTTAACATGAAAGGCAGAAAAGCAGGTAAGCTGCCTGACCAAAAAGGACTATTTAATAGTCTTCTATGCAGTCTTCCTCTTCAAACTCTTTTTTAAACCTTCAGCCAGTTTTGTAACACTGTACACCACCTGGGAACAGAGCAACCTCAACAGTTTGTAAGAATGAAAGACAGCTCCTAAATTTTATTGCACGTCACACAAAGCTGCAATGTTGACCAGAGAATCCCATACACCACAGTCAGAAGCACAACATTTTTTATTCTATTTGGTTACTTAGTATCTATGCTAATAGAAAGTTCCAGGAAGTTACAGATTGACCTTATCTATTTGAAAATGTTGGCCTTAACTTTACATCTCATTCTATCCTTGGCATCTCTGCTAAGCAGTTGCTAATGCAGTGATGTTTTTGTGATACAGACCCAGGATCTGGACTTCAAAAAGCCTTTTTACAGTGACGGAGGTGGTCTTTTTTGGTTGCTACATTTAACCAGCACTAGGATTAAAAAACCAGTTATTAAGATGGACAAAATATTACATGTACTAAAAGACTTGCAAACCTATTATTTAAGAGTCTGTAGGCTGCTATGTCAGCTAAGGAAAACAGGCAAAGAGGTCTCATTTACAGACAAAGAATGAAAGATTGTGCATCGGGTAAAGAAACGGCAACCTTATCAGTCTAATAGCTAGATTTTGAAGCACGTTTACTAGAATAATAAAATGATGTCTGTACAACACACAAATTAGAAGAGTCCAAAGTCTGTTTCTAAATGTAGGTGTTACTAGTAAAGTTTGCTGTACTCACCTGCAGATCAGAGAGCATGCTCAACAAGCTCCGCAGCAAACTTCTGTCCACAGCTTCACCATTCCGTTCTCGTTCGATCAGCAGGAGGATTCCATCGATAGTCTTGTTTTGAACTTGCTTGTCACTAATGACGTGATTTCTAAATAACTCTAGCCCCATATCCCTGTGCGAATATTGAAAATTAATAAATCACACTGGTGATTCTTTCCAAAAGTCTGTATCTCAGTTTGAGAAAAATAAATACATATAAAATATACATAGTGTATGTATATTATACAGAAAGAGAATATATTAATGGTGTGTATATTCTTTTGGTGCTGTCCACTAAGAAAAGTATAAAAAGAATTATCATGATACGAGGCCACATGCTACCAGATACATACACTTCAGCTACGAACTGTGACCAGCCTAACCATATTTCACATAATAGACTATAACATTTTCTGTTTATTAAAAAAAATTATTATAAAAATAATAAAAAAATCTGAACATAGACCTTAACATAAGATTCCCTGGATCAGTCAATCTATGTGTAATTTATAAGTTTTTTTTAAAAGCATGAATTCTGTGTATGTTTAGGACCTTACAATCACCTGTATCAGGTTCTTGTTTCATTCTAAGAGGATGAGGAATGGTGCCTCTATGCCATGAATAAGTCAATTATTAAGCATTGTCTTGGCCAAGGAAAACAGAGGAATCTTAGGTAAAACTTGTTATCTCCAATGTCCTCACATGCATCAGGATTTCCATAAAGGAAATTTTCCCGGTATGAGGAAGAAAGACACAAAGTATGAACAGAACCCTTCAACAACATTCAGTAAAAGGAAGCCTAACACAGAGTCGGAGGAAAACTACTGCAGAGGTTGGGAAGAGGTCCACAGGACAAGCGAGGGGCAGGAGAAGGATGCCAGGTTTCTCAGACTGCCCGAGGAACTCCCAAGAGCACAGAAGCCATCCAGGCAGGGAAAAGGCACGCTCTCACTTCAGTACTTTATCTACATCTTTTTTTGCTTTAGATGGAGCACTGATACCAGAAATTTTTCACAAAGCCTAGGTTTGTGTGCTCAGGCGATGATATAAAATGCTCCTCAGGAGGGATGCTGAAAAACAGAATGCCCAAAGACGTGACTGTGGTGTGCTGAAAGTACAGCAGCATCTAAGGGAGCTGGCTTCCATCTCAACGCTCTGAGCCACAGGTCTTGACTCTCAAGAGGCCAGTGCTGGAAAGATGATCTGCACCTTGTCAGTGTATCTGACCTATTTAAAAAACTGCTGAGCAAGAAGCTGAGGCTTGAATTTTGTCAAAACCTAGAGCACCTAAAGTAACACTTGGCTCAGTGTTCAGGTGCAAAGGCATCAGCCGAAGGAGGTTCCCCACACAGCCAGCCTCACCCAGGCTGTGACAACTACAGCTATATATATGCCTTGACTTTTAAGCATATGTTCACAGACCTTTTTCTTCTTTTACCCTCACTTTACAATGAATATTCCTGGGGAAGGAGGAAATGACACATGCATACACTGACACATGTATTTCCATAAATTAACACAAAATTTTAGACACTTATTACACAGATCGAATATAATGTGAAAAATTTATTTTCAACCTTTACAAATATAATAGCACGTTCAAACTCTAAAGATTCAAGGAATACTTACATGGATACCTACCATATAGAAGGAAGCATTGAATTCTGAAGTACATATGTACGATCCAGAAATAAGAAAATGCTTCTGATCATGATCTGAAAATATATAAAGAAAATGTCTCTCTTCACTATCATGTGGCGTTCTTAAATTATAAAGCAACTACATCACATATACATGCACCTTAATTGCTGATGCATGTATTTTCAGCTTCTGTGGTGGCTTGTACAGTGACTGGTATGTAATTTATTGTTAATACTATTACTAAGCGGTATTACCAAGTACATCCAAGACAGTTTTCAAATTCATAACCATTAACTGAATAGTTTTATTAGCCTGTTATGAGTTTTAGTGCTACTGAGATACATAAGCCATTCAAGCAGTACCACCAAGACATTTGGTAAACACCCTGAAATAGCATGCTGCCATGGTTTCTGCTTTTTAAAAAAAGAAGCTTTAAGCAGAGACAGTAATAAGCTGTGCAACAGATCTTTTCGTAATAAAAGTTAGCTGCCAAAATTCATGAGAAAAATAGAGATATATTAATTCTAACAGGGGAAAGAAGGTATAAAAATATATTATCTTTTTTTTTTAATTAAAAAAGTGGGAGAAGGAGGTGGGGTTTTAGCTTATAACTCTTTCACATTCAAAATCCATTTTTAACTTTGCTCATAAAAAGGCTGCCCAGCTTTCAGTTTAGCATAACTCAGGATGTCAGTAACTAACTCACCCCCAGGCCAGCTACAGAGATTTCTATCCCCAGCTGTCTACTTACTCCTCCCCTAAAAGGTTTCATTGCTTCTGAAGCAATTCTCAAGCTGACACTGTTTCTGGCCAAGCATATTAAAGTAAAACAGCAGCGAGGCTGATTCTTTTTTCTTAAACACCACAAGTGCTAAATTAGCACATGGGCAAGAAAGCCACTTGCTACAGGTTGTTGCTTTGAGGAGAAAAAAATTTTAAAAAAGAACGCTCAAAAGTAATTAAAGTGAACAGAGTTCATAGTGAAAGCCTTTTTATAGAAACATAGGTCCAGGTTAATTACACTTTCAAGGCAATAAACTTCAATTCTATTTTCATCAGACTGTTGAATTTGTTTTGAATAGTTTCCATAATGCTTTCCATTTTTATTTCTGATAAAAATCACATACCTCTGCCCATTGCCCACAGGGAGGGGAGAGGGGTGGATTCGAGGAATGAAAATAGAAATTCAACCATTTTGGGCATCTGTAGCCAAAGCTAAGTGACAATGCAATGAAAACTCATTGTAAAATGCTGGTTTAGAATTATAATCATGCATTCTTAAAGGGACAATTCACATGGAGTGTCTTTGAGAAAGGATTTTTTCCTGTAACATAATTCATTGTGGAGGTAGGGGACAAGAAGAAGGGCAGAAAGAAAGAGAGAGTTTCAGTTTTTTAAATCTTCCTGTTTCTTAGCCCTTTAGTCAGGATAATAATCTCTGCTTTGCCAAAAAAAAAAAAAAAAAAAAAAAAATCACAAATTAGCCTAGCTCTTGGAGCTATCTAAAAGCAAAGATTGTGGATTCTCCAACTACTTAAAATTACAAACAGCAAACAATTTCACCGTAGCCTGGTTAGTTTTTCTTTCTACCCATAGAAAACAGGTGTCAAGATATTTCTGAGTGGTATTCCAACTTCATATGAAACCTATGAAAGTCAGAGTCAACACAGCAGAACATAAGTTTTCAACAACAAAATCGCCCCCCTGCTAGCAAAGGGGAAAGTGAAAAGCAATGCTGAAACTTGGAGGAGGAGGTGCGGCACAGTCCCAAGTTAAAACCACGACAAACTCCTTCTTGCCAGATTTCACACCTCAAGGATCCGTATTCTGAACAAACATTCAACTTACCATTTGTCTGCAATGATCTTGCCAGCATTTATTTATCTTCTTTAAAAATAAAAGACTATCCAGAGAATCTGTACAGCACCTATTAAGGAAAACTAGCTTGTCAGTATCTTTTGAGGCCATATCCTGGAGATGATCTTTGCCAGCCATTAAGCAAAGCTACTCCATGGATATTCCAATGTTGCTGGGACTGCCCAGGGATAAACGGTTAATTGCAGAGCTTCTGCCCAGCAGAAGGGCTGGCAGTTCTCCAAAAGGTCTCCCTATGTTTTCAAGGAATAACACTCACTGCTCTTCTGTAATACCATCTAGTGGCTGTACTGTATAACTCCGATATAGATTTAAACAAGAAATCCCAACAGTGTCAAAACCAACCTTGTCACCAACTGAGGTGAGAGGGATAGAAAGGTTTATTTTGTGTGTTTAATGACTTCACACTGTGCACAACAGGAGTGACCCTAATCTCTTAAATGCAGTTACAGTTCTAAATAATTCTCAACAAATCCAAATACCGCTCTTTTTATACACATCTCCAGGTCTCCCTAAGTAAACTACCGAGTTTTCTTTATTACACAACAGACCCACCTGTTATTTATGAGTAACAGAATTCTCGTGTGTCATATGAGTAAATCTAAACATGGGTTTACCTTCCTCTCCTGCACAGTATCATCTCCAACTCCCTCTGGCCAAATCTGATTAATCTGATCTCATGTCCTTGGGATATAAAGTGGTATACCTGTAAAATACAAAATTCTCAACTCTCCAAAGCACCAGCTCTGTCAGAGGGTGGGGAGAAAGCAAAGTTTTAAAACACCAGTTTTAAAACATCTCTTCAGAAGATCCTCTGAAGTCTGAAAAGGCAGGGATGCAAAAAAATGGTTGACTGTACTGCTTTAAAACAGACTGTAAGATTTGGTTCTCAGAGATCAGTTATGTTTAAGAGATTACTGTGCTGACTAATGTACTTTTCAGTTGCATGTGATTTTAAATGCATCAAAGTAAACATAATGAAAAAATCAGCTGCCATAGAAGAGGTGAATTCACAGTGCTGATTTATGTACCTATGTTTCTTATATGCTATGTAGAAGCCAGACTCATTAACTGGGACTCAAAAAAAAAAACCCCAAAACACACAACCCAAAACCATGTTGGGACTTAGCTAGATAACGGGGGGGGAGGGGGAGGGGGGGGAGAAAAAAAATTATCATCTTTATCAGTGTAGGCACCTACCTGAGGAATGCAGTCAACTGAGAAACTCAGAGTCACACTCCAAAGCACACTTAAGGCATTCACCTGGAAAGAAGGTTCTTTCTGGGCCCCAGTCCCTTGCTTCTTTCTATTTTAACCTATCATTTTCTGCTAATAAAATACATGCAGAGACCTGGGAAACACTGCTAGCACCCTATGTACTGTAGTACCTGTTCAGTATGGCACTCTCCAGGAACATGGGGACAGCCAGGCGGGCATAGATTCTATTTATCCTACTGGCCTGAGCAAGCGCAACCCCCAGGCTATTACACAAAAGACAACTATCACATAAAGCACAGTCTCAGCATGTAAAGCACAATGGGATTCAGAAAACAGGGCTGCCTGCACCCAGGTGTCCAGAGAAGATGTACAGGCACTTGTGTGACCAGTTCAGCCAGAAGAAAAGCCCAGCAACGTAACTTCAGAAAACCATGGGGAAATTTACAGGTTTCTGTGCATCCCAAGACAGCCAAGTGATGTCCTGAACTTAGAGCTCTCTCCCAAGATACACATAAGATACCTAAAGGGCTTGTGGAATGCCTCCGTGACACACTGCTGCTGACCAGTAGTTGTTATTGGTCAAACAGGTGTACTTTATGTTTGAGAATTCATTTACAGAAGACACTGTTGTTGAAAATTACTGTGGTGATTTTTTTTAAACTATTGCTACTGTAAGCATCTCCACTACTCACCTGCCATAAAAATCCACACCTGCTGTTAAATCTCATAGTGCTATTGAAAAATCTAGATTAGGTATAAAATTTGCATTCCTATTAAAATGATAAGTAAATTGTTATCAGCATGCTACTTATTGGTACACAAAAATTATTCACCCAGATGACTAAAGTTGCTTATGCCTGATTTGAAAACATGTAAGTGGTCAAAGAACCTCTTTAACAGATTGTAAAAATTACACCAGTAATTGCCAAAGTGTTGTTTTAAAAAAGAATTATTTAAACTAACCATTCTAACCACTTCTGTGCACAAGAAAAGGATATTCTCTAAATTGAAGGATCTGTGCTTTCACATGATCTTCACAGACTTGTCGCAGTTGTTTGTACAGTGTAGCAGAGACTTTGTAAGAACAGAGATTTTCAACAGCCTAAAAACCAAAAAAAAAAAAGATTATGAATGAGACAAAAAAAAAAAAAAAGAACTTTTGTGCTTGTGTAATCAAGGCCAACAACAAAGAGAAAAAAAAAATATCAGTGTTATCTGTCAGTGTTATCTGTCCAAGCTGTGCACAAAAGCAAAACATCAAAATGAAATTATCCAAACTATGTAGAAAAATTAAGACTTCATTATTCCTTTCTGATTTTGGTCTCTTCTTATACTGCTGGACTTTGTGTACAAACAAGGTCCACCATCACCATCTGGGTCATATTTCAGATGTGCTGTTAAACATTACTAGAATACACCCCCCACACACACCCCCAAGTACCGCTCAGCAGCAGAACTCTTCCTGGACGACCGTTTTGCGCATCCTCCAGCACATGCACACATGCACTTTTTTGGGGGGAACACAATCATTCTAAATATTTTCATTTCTTAATAACTTTAAGGTAGACATTTCAACCACCCTCTCCAAATGGCAAATGAATACAGCTGCTTTCCTGTCATTTTATTAACATATTTCTTTCCGAATATTTCCACTGATTCACACACTCATGCTAAGATAAGTAAACTGAGGGGAAAAGTAATTAAAAAAAAAACAAACAATAAAAAAAACGCATTAACCATTAAAAGAAGACTTTAATTGATTTATGAGGACCTTATGGGATTTAGTTGAGTGTTTATCCATAGTTGACTACGAAGACCATTTCTGCCCCAAACCAAACATTCTTCTGGTCACTACATTAATGTAAATTGAGTTGTTATGCAGCTGACCTAAACTATGCTGAGACAGCTCTGGCCATCTCTAGAATACTGCAGTTCAGCTATACGTTGTCTTACACTAACATTTTTTCCTCACAAGAAACTCAATGAGAATGCCAAAGAGAAAAGGTAGCCTTGCTTGATACCACTGCCTATATTTAGATTTTGTTCCAGGCACACTTGATTTTGTGTGCTGTATTTCAACAAATTATTTTATTAATAGACCATAGCATCTGAAATGAATCACAATGAAGACAGCCAAATGTTCTCTAAGAACTGTAAAGTTTACAGTAAGTATTTTTGGCCATTCAGTGCTTCATACAAAATTATCCAAAGGAGTTGGACATGATTTTCAGGACTAAAAATCCAGCTGTCTTTTCCTTTAACTTCACCTCAACTGCCTGCATGCTATGAGGTGATACTGCAGAGAACACTGCCTAAGATTTAAAGCGCTATTTCACCTGGGCAACTAAAACTGACCCAAGAATGTTTTCCTTTGCTCCAGAGGATTTATAGTGTCACATTTTGTTGACAAATTTTCTCATAGCATCAATGAACTTGGACAAAGTTTCAGTATTTTCCCAGTGCTTGGCCTTTACTCAGTCTTCCCCAAATTTCAGCTTTTTTTGGTGTGTCTTATTTCTTTGTAGTCTGAAACGTTATGGTGCCTAATGCCAGCATGTAAGTCTTTGTCAAAGCATTAGTAAATGTTCTTCACACTGTTTCAGTTTAAGACCATCCAAACATACGGGCTAGCAAGCGCGTGGGCCAAGAGACAGGCGAGGGGGAAAGCGGGCCTGCTTCTTTGGGCAACCGTGCTGGATTAAAGTGTATTTCAAACTGCAGCTGTAACACCTCACTGCCGCCTGTACTAGCTGTTTCTGCTTTTTTTTTGATGGGGGGCAGGAAATCCAGTAATTTCCTCCTTCTTCACCTTTTGTTTTATTCTGAGTTTTTGCTGCCTCTCTTCCTGAACAAATTTGATTTGACTTTTATTCATCTTGCACACAATTAGTTTGGAAAAGAGCTACAGTAATTATCACGTCTACAAGGATACGAGAAAGATAACACTTCTAGACTCCTAATCTACACACATCTAGTAAAAGTTCTGTTTCAAATCAACCTTTTAATAGCTTGTTTTGAGCAGAGTCTTCTCTTTTAACATTTAGCATGCAAATTATTGCTACTTCTTGAGTTATTTCCTCTATAGGTTCTAACATCCTGAAGAGTTTGTCCTCCAAAACATAAAGTGAATCTGCTTCCCAGAGATCTCCCCACAGGGTAATTCTAACCTGTTTGATGTCATTTTATTTAAATGCACATCAACTTTGGCTTCCTCAATTCTGACACAATATTAAAGAAAGCAAACAAATAAAACTATCACACAGTGCCTATGCTACGTTTTTCATCTGGTCTTGAAACAGATAAGTAAAATGACATCTGCAACAAACAGTGTTCACACATAATCATTTTGCAGAGAGTTTATGTTCCCTAAGATACAGCCCTTCCCATCCATCCATCCATCCAAAAAAAACTCTGGTCAGGACTCTCACAATTTTTTTTCCTTCACTACTACACCGTCCTACTCTATGTCCTCCAGAAGGGCAGTGCTGCCCCATTTCAGGTTATTTAGGACCTTGCTGCAAAGGGAATTTTCTTTTTCCATTATTTTTATCACTTACTCCTCACTCGGCAACTCTTTGCACTGCCCCACTTTCTCTATCCCATCAAGTATAAGCTACTTCTATCAAAATCTGTGGAATCTACCACCAATCCCAGGCATCATTTCTATTTTAGTCGCAAAAAATTGGCTGCCACCCTCCCACTGCTCACTGACTAGGTCTCTGCCAAGCACCTTCATGCCTGACCCCGTGCTGCCTCTAATGCCTGGAAAGGAGTATCCTTCGGCCTTCCCACAAAGCCTTGTCATTGTTCTCCAGTTTTGCCTCAGCCACCGTGCCAAATTAAATGAATAAATCAGAAAGTTCAAAGGCAGGCTGGTACACCAGCCTGCTCACCGCACTGAACTATAGCAGGCCTCTCACTTCCTCCCATAACGTCAGATAAAGACTCAAAAAAAAAAAAAAAGAAAACAAAAAAAAAAACCAAACCCAAAAGCCCTGATAGTAAGAACTGATCCACACAGAGAAATTTTCCCCTGTGGATGACTCGGTGCTCACCAACAGGCAGTTAAAACGATCTGTAAGTACAGATCAGGTTTCCAACGGATGCTGAACTTCATCTTTTATTCCTCTGGCAGGAGAGTAAGTACCTATCTATGCATAGCACACTGACTGCTACCACCCACTGTGCAGAAATCTTGCTGATTTGCACCGTTGCCTTACAGATTATTGGGCTGGCCTTGCGCAGTTTTTACAAATAAGCAAGCAAACAGAAAAAGCAAGAAGTACAGTTCTCCCTTCCTAGTTTATCTGAAATCTCTCTCTTCCTCTTCTGCCAAAACTCAAGTCTGTACCCCGGCGATTTCATAGCCATATTACTATAATCTCATTTCTGAGCCTCTGAAAACAAGTTAGGTAACGCTCAAAGCATCTGTGGTTTTTTCTTTTTTTTTTTAGCTAGGCATGGGAAAGCAGGATTTTTCAAATGTTGAGTTTGAAACCATAAAATGTATTATGTAATTAAAACTCTGCAAACCTGCGATATTAAGAGATGAATATATCACAGTCAAGTTACCTACTTAAAGAGAATAAATTATATTAAGTGAATACGCATTTACATAACCAGCCATTTTAGACCCATACACTCTAACTAATCGCAGAGACAAGTATAGTCAGCTCCCAAATTCATCCTGATTTTCTTGAGCACGCACCCGATATGGACTGCTGGCTTTCTCCTCCCTCACAGTTCACACTTTGCAGACAACATCAAACCCACCTCAGCTGAACATTTAGAATAATTAGGTGAGCATAACGTCTTAAGTCCTGATCTGGCAATGAGATCCACATCTGTACATCAAACACCTGCAGCCACAGAAAACTCATAACTTAAGCTATGCAGCACAACTTAGCGCATCAGTAACTTTTTTATAACATTATCACTGTAAAAAATTACTACTTCAGTTAAACATCTCAAAACACACGCATTTAAAATAATATAGAACTAAACCATATATAAATGCAGAAAGTAGAAAGGAAGAAATGGCTCGTATTTCCCTCTTTTACCCTCCCTAGCCCCTGCTCCAGTAGTCCAGATGTGCCAGCAATACTTTTCATCATTTTAATAAAAAAATTAAAATCCTGATTGTTATGAAAATGTAACAGTAATCTGAACCACAGGTAAACTGACAGTCTGCTGCCTGCTCAACCAAGCTTCTTTTTCAATTCCCCAAGGGGTACTGATGCTGAAGTCTAACTGGTATTACCTAATAATATTACTTTCAACGTTACTATTCACAAGAGACAAAGCACGTACAAAAGAAAAATCATCATAAAATATGTATCTGCATAACCCAGCGAGAGTAACATCCCATTTCCACCATCTCGAGAAGGCACTGTATTGAAGAGACCGAGACTTAAATCTCAGCCCTGCCCAGGCGCAGCTTTCCACGTCTCCCGACATAAACTGCTTTTTCATGGGCCCAGATCCTGGTAGCTCTCCAAGGAACTGATATATAAAACTGCAAACTGACTAGAAACAGAGTACGGAGCGACCGGTTCAGAAAACATAATCAGCTTTTAACAAATCAAAACGTGTTATGTGTAGCTCTGCGGAAGTCCCGAAGCAGTTAATTTTCCTTCTGTTAAACTGAGAAAAACCCTGCACGCCTTACCTGGTAGAGCTCTTCCAGGTTGTATTTAATAGAAATGCTACTCTGTATCGCTCCCACCGCTTCGTGAAGTTTTTGCCAGGTGTCCCGAGTATAATTATCCGGTAATTTGGGTCTCTCTGGGAAGGAAGACACAGGTAGTTGACAGCCCGCCGCCCAACGGCAGTCGCCGGCAACCTTTCCCACCCCGGCTTCATCAAGTTCCGCCGAGCCGTGTTGTGCCTCAGCGTTCAAGCCTGGCACAAGGAGAGGGTCACCGCCTCCCCCCACGGC